GGTAGTACCTTTCCAAACTCTTCCTGATGCCACTTCCAGTGAAGGTCTACAAAGCGAGTGTCCTTTCAGAGATGGATAAGTAACAGGTCAAGGACCTTGACCTGTTACTAGGCTGGGAGGCTTTTTACTAAGGACTGAACACAACCAAAGAGAGGCCCTATTTCTTGTATATTAATCTTAGAGAAGCTGGAGTAGTGAAGGGGGAAATGCATCAGAGCCAACAACGATACATAAACAAAATCAACCTAGAGCGGTGCCAAGGAACACCCAGGGTAGCATCACACTTACAGTCCCAGAAATCTGGAGGCAGAGGCAGGAGAATTCAAAGCCTACTTGGGCTCCATAGTACCAAAAAGGAAAAGGAGAAATGAGTTGACAGGTGACCCACTGGCTCTATTTGTTTCTGACTATTTATTCTACAGCCTCTGTCTTTCAAGGCTATGCTCCAAGATCATGTTGGAAGTTGCTGTCAAGTGTAAAATGCCATAAAGTTACTATTTGTCTTAACTCTACAGTTCATATGCGTGGTCCTGACTGGGAACAGGTCAGTAGCTATGGAATTGCTCAGGACCTTAGTCTACTGTCCTTGTCATAAAATGCTTGGGGCAGGCTTCACACAGCTCAAAGGGACTAGGCTCGCTGGTTTTCTAAACCCCTTTCCCCCTTATCAAACGACCTGAAATACCCTCTCCTAGAGGAAGTTACAGGCCAAGCTTCTCTTTCCTTTTCATCTCATCTAGCTTCATTCTTCTGCAGTTCAGAACCTGCCTTACTCAGCCATGGTATTTCATCTATAGTTGTTCTAGATCATGACAGGAAGCACTCAATCCAGAGCGTAACTTTTGTTCCTTCTCTTACTCACCCTTGGTGAAGTCGTGCAACTGTGCCATAGTCATCATCTTTACCTTAAGGTAGTGATGCTTCCTTTCAGGGTATTTAAAAGCATCGAATCAGAAAAATATATACATAGGTACAGCAACTTGTTTAGAATTGGCCTGACAAGTGCTCCAACAAATGGAAAATAATTCACTTTCCATGTGTGTGTTCTGAAAAGCCCACTGCAAGGCTTTATATACATCTAGGGCTCAATAAATGTCATAGTTGGATTAAGGCAAGTTGCTGAATCACTGCCTTGCTGTTTGACTTGATCTCACATTAAAGTCAACATAGAAATCATTATTTGTGACTTTGTCTGCAACGGTGGCGTGAGATCTGCAGAGTGATTAAGATGGCCCCCGATACTATCTACTATCTCTTGAATGTGCAGGTGACTATTTACCCTAATTGGCATCAGGCTACTATCACCTAGGTAACCAGTGGGGATGCTGATGATGGTACCATACAACACTTCAGGGTTTGGGAATGCTGCACACGGTACAAAACAGCACCTTCAGGATTTGAAGACCATCAATTTACTCTGCAGAAAATACTATGCCCATTTCTCAGACGTCTTACAAAAAAAGAGGATAACTTTCAAGAAAAGATCCAAGGCTGCTTAAGAGTAACACCTTAGTGTGGGAATCCATGTTTGCCTGTTTCCAGTTTCTCTCCGAACCCTTTGTTAGAAGCTCTGTTCCCAGGCACTGGACTCCTTATACTTGCCCATCAGAACAGTCTTCCAAGGGGCATTTACTGGACAGAAACACAGCTTTAAATTCCATTCACTTGCTCTTTGTCTTCCTGCATCCCAGGACATTCAGTCACTTAATTGTATAAACCATTTCAGGTTCACAGATCAACATATAATGGCCTGCAGGGATTCCTACAGAGTACCTCTCAGTCAGGCAGTACCTCTGTATTTTGTTAGGGATCTGTCTGACAGAATATCTTCGCTCAAATGAATGACTTTTACTCTAAGGATCTCAGATCCTATGTTGGCCAATGGATAAAGGTTTTGAACCTATGACTGTTTAGGCCAGACTCAAGAAACTTATTATAAATGAGGTATTGGCTCTCAGCCACAGAAACATTTTTTTTTTTGCCTTACTTGTCAATCAGGATGCGCCCTCCCTTCTTTGAAAACTGGGCAGGAAGTAAAGTAAAAAATGTGTGTCATTTGAACCTTCATCTATATGGTTACGCTCAGGACTAAAAGGACCAAAGGACAGCTGCAAATGTGAGCATAAGGCAGCCAGGTTCAAAACAACGTTGCCAGGGAAGACAGCAGTAAGGACTATTAAATCAAGATGCTCCCCATTTATCTTCGGGACCCCTCTGATGAAAACCTACCAGTAAGCACTTACCCTGGAAGTCTCCAAGCCAGAAAATGAGCTGTCTGGGTTGCATGTAAGAAAGACTGAGAGCCTACTCCTTGATTAGTTTAAAGTTTCAGCATCATGCATGTGTACACATGAGAATTTAGAGGCTGGGGCAAAAAATGGGAGAGAGAGAGAGAGAGAGAGAGAGAGAGAGAGAGAGAGAGAGAGAGAAAAGTAGAGAAAGGACAAGAGTGGAAAGGCCATAAGGAGGAAAAAAAAGGAGGGAGGGAGGAAGGAAGAGAAAGTCAGAAAGAGAATGGAAAATAATCCTACAGCATCTAATGAGGCCCCACTGGACGAGTCTTGCCTTTAAATAAAAATCCCAAAAGGCAAAAGCTGAAAGCTCACATTTCCCGAGTCTAGTCCATCCCAGTGGGTCAGAAAACACCTGACATCTACTTCCACTAAATCTGAGAGATATCCCCCGGGAGCCCAAAGCATTTTGTACAGAGGGAAAAGTGGGAACGGCTAGTGCTGTAACCCACTGGCCTGCTTACTCTCAGTCCCTACTGAGAATTAGAACTGGAGAGGTAGACAGCTAAGGGAGCAGTGAGGATCTAAGGATCAGAGAAAGTCAGGGAGAATACTTGCCACAAGAGGGAGCAGTAGAATTTGGTCAGATGGGTAAATATTCCTACTAGGGAAAGGGGGTGTCTAACTGTGAGTTAATAAAATCTAATCATGGAGTATGGATAGTATGGAATGATGGCCAAGCAAAAGATTTATGTCCCTAAGTGACAGAAAGTAGTACTTGGACCACTAAACGCTTAACAAAATCAGCAATTGAATTACTTGAAAGAAACATATATAACAGCCAAAGAACATGAGGCATGCAACCTGATATAACATTATCTTCTCTAAATGGTTCTTGCTATAGAGTTAACTTCTATTTCAGCTTGGATCTTGTTGATTTCTCTACTGCTTCTTTTCTGTATACTGTCCTCCCTCTACCTGGAGTGTCCCGGAGAAAAGACTCCCCCACACACGCGACAACCACAGTCAGGCGTAAAACACTTTCTTTACATCGCGTGTGTTTTCTTCTTGCTGCCCATTCTCTTTTTAGAGGAGAAATGCAATTTCTAGAGGCTCCAGAGTCCTGCTCATTTATTTTGTCAGAGAAACAGATTAAGCACTAAGAGGGAAGGAACCGTTCGTTTACTTTGCAAGATAAATAAAAGTCTATTTTTGTCTGATAAAAAAACATGTTAAATATAGCTTGCTAACAAACGCTGAAGCGCTTCTTGATGTATTTTATTGTTTCAAAGCACAGTGAGCTTGAAAGAGCCAGCTTCTATAAATCCTGCACATCAGGCCTCAGGGGATTGCTCACCTTCCCCTCCTGTTTTCATTTGGAGTTAGAGCACCCGCACTGCTATGCTCTTTCCTTCTCCTTCATGGTCAACAGAAATTCCCTCTGTCTCTTAATCTGAATCCAAATTGATGCCATAGAAACCATTCTAGTTACAGGATGGAAGGTCTGCAAATAGACAAGGGACCATGAAGCACTGTCTTCCAGTGCCTTTAGTCCAACACTCTCTCCCCAGCCAGGCTAAGCAGCTTGCTTTCAAGGCAGAATAGTTTAGATAATCACCCTAGGCGCTTACATCCTGTGATACCTCTGGTCAGCTCAGCAGTGAATACTGGTTTCTCTCAGTTCCGCTTTCTTGTTTGTTTATTTGTTTGTTTTTCCCTCATCCTTTTCTAGGAACTAATCGCTGGTTTTTAATAAAAAGCAAAAGCCATTTTAAAAGGAGGAAAAGATCGGGACTGTCTTTATAAGGGAGATCTTAGTTAAAGAGTTCTGAGATCCAAATGGAACCCTCAAAGCAAGCAGAAGGTGTGGAAGGAAAATGAGTGAAGAAAGACCATCTGACTGAAAGCAGTGGGTCCTCCCCCACCAGCTCACTCACAAAACCCTAAAGATGGATGGAGCAGGCTGTCCTTCTTCCTGCCTTCTACACCCAGCTAACCTCCAAAATTAAGCAAGTTTGACAAAACCAGAAATCCCAGTAACACAGGAATTCGAAAGAGGAACCTAAGCAGTTATTCTTTTTTCGGCTTTGGGTTCTTATTGCAAATGAATGAAGACTCTAGACTCCTTTCTCTCCTGCTCCCCCACCCCAGAAGAGCTCTGAGAGAGGAGGAGTGTGCTGTGTGCCTGTGTGCATATGTCTCCGTGTGTGTGTGTGTGTGTGTGTGTGTGTGTGTGTGTCTTTTAGTGGTGCATACTTTCAGAAATCCCCCTCTCCAGACTGACCCCTCCCACACCCCCCCACAAGGCCCCTTGACAGCAGATCTAAGGTTGTAAACCATTCTGCTGCTCCAAGCTGAGGTCCTCAAACAATCTCTTGAAGCAAATCTGATGAGAAATCTTCACCTCCTCAGTGGCTGTCTCCCTGACCAGGATGCCTGAACTGTCTTCAGCGCATCTGTCATTTTTCGAAAAGCTTCTTCCACTACACCTCCCACTGATATCCTTTTTTCTCATTTTAGGCTTTACACCTCCAGCAGGACAAAGTTTGTGTTGTTATATTCACAACCACTAGTGGCTGACTAGCAGAGAGCGCCTTCCAGGGAGCCAGGCTAAGGGGGGTTAAAACCATACCTAGCACAAAAAGCATGACTTTTTTTCTGCCCTTGATCACAAATAACAAGCACGTTGGTCTCTTCCCAAAAATGCTTTGTTAAATTGGATCACCGCTGCTCTTAACTCAAGCACCTCCTCTTTATTTGGGGAGGGAAGTAGGAACTGCTAGCAAGTCATTCACCAGACAGAGACAGAATCTATGGCTCTACGGGGTGGGGGAGCAGCGGACAACGAGGTAAGCATGCACATATGTTGTATTTTTTAAAGCGTCTCTAGGACGGATTTGGTTTCTCTGGCGGACTGTCCTGCTATCAGACCTCCCTCTTCCTCGAGAAGGAGGAGCCAAAAAGGAGATCCTTGAATCTCAGAACACTGGCCATTTCCCCAAGAGCCAGCCCAGTCTCAGAGGTAAATGATGCAGCTGTGAAGTTCCCTTTGAATCTCGGGGTAAAGACGCAAGTGCATGCAGAATCCCCAACACAGTGCCCGTGCACGGGAATCCTACAGCCCACTCCCCACTGCTTTTCTCCCTCCTCTTTCTCAGCTACCCAGCCACACCTCCCTCCCCTCTGCAGTCCTCCCCTAGTAGCACCCAACGTCTGCCAGGAGAGAGGGCTCACAAGTGGAGCCCTGGGGAAGACCCCAGGGAGTACCAGGAGGAAGGGGGACCGACCTGTGAGGAACCCAGTGGGTGGAGGTGTCTGGCTTTCCAGCAGCGCTGTCTGCTTTCTGGGTGGACTTAGCTCTTCGCGCCTGGAATCCTCGCAGCCCAGCACTGTCCAGGGTGCAGCATCTCCCCCCCACCAGCAGCCCTTTCTTCTCTGGCAATCTACACTGGCAGGCAGGGACCCTCACGCCCAAAGCCACCAACAGCCTGAGCAATTTCACTCTCAGAGAAGCACGGACACCCAGAAAATCTGCAGGCGTGTGCTTACACACACACACACACACACACACACACACACACACACACGAACAATTCAGGAGCCAACCCTTTGGCTTAAATGAAGGGAATCGCTGCCTTGAGAACCTCAAAGAGAGCAGTTTCCTTCTCGATGTCGCTGCCTGCCGAGGACCAGCTCCTTACCTGGGCTGAGCCTTGTAGATGGATTCCCTGCACGCCGCCAGGCGATCTTGCGCGCTCACTCCCTTTTGGAGACAGCTCGCGTTCAGGAAGAGGTCGCTCCCATCCTCGGCTGGAAGCACA